GACCCCCGGGAGGCGGGCACGTCCCCCCGTGGGCAGGACGCGTCCCCCCCGCGGGCAGGGCACATCCCCGCCGCCGTCGAGGCCGGCACATGGGCACCATGTGCCCTGGCAGGCATCGCTCGGTACCGGGTGGAGCGAGGATGCCCACCCCGGCTCCCCCGGGACCCCCCAACCCACACGTGCCCCCCGCCCGACACCGTCCCCTCTCCCGCAGGTCGCCCCCGCGCCGCTGAGCCATGCGGGATCGCCCGGCCCCCTCTCCGCCAGAGCCATGAGCGGCTGCCGGTACAATGGGGGGGTGGCACGGCCCCGGGGCCCCCTGAACGCCTCCGCTCGCACCCTGCACCCGCTGGAGGGTGAGACCCAGCCGCTGCGACCTCACTGTCCCCCCGGCCTCGAGGTGGTGGTCTCACGGCCGGAGCAGCCCGGGGGTCCGGATCCCGGCCCGGCGGCGGCGGCCCCGGGGCAGGATGCGGCCGAGGACCGGGGGCGAGGACCCCGGAGGAACCAGAACATCGGGTACAAGCTGGGGCACCGGCGAGCCCTCTTCGAGAAGCGGAAGCGCCTCAGCGATTACGCCCTCATTTTCGGGATGTTCGGCATCGTGGTGATGGTCACGGAGACGGAGCTGTCCTGGGGCGTCTACACCAAGGTAGGGATCACGGTGGGTGGGGGACCCATGGGGGGGGTCCGGCCGGGCTCACGCTGCCCGCTCCCCTCTCAGGAGTCATCGTATTCGTTTGCACTGAAATGCCTTATCAGCCTCTCGACCGTCATCCTCCTGGGGCTCATCGTCATGTACCACGCCAGGGAGATCCAGGTGAGGGGCACCTGCCGGTGGGTGCTCACCAGGGCTGTGCCGCCCCGGGGGTCCCACCACCCACCTCAACCCCCCTTTCTCCCCCCGCAGCTCTTCATGGTGGATAACGGCGCCGACGACTGGCGCATCGCCATGACCTACGAGCGCATCTTCTTCATTGCCCTGGAGCTGATCGTCTGCGCCATCCACCCCATCCCCGGCCAGTACCTCTTCACCTGGACGGCGCGGTTGGCTTTCACCTACGCCGCCTCGGTGGCCGATGCCGATGTAGACATCATCCTCTCCATCCCCATGTTCCTGCGGCTGTACCTGATCGGGCGCGTCATGCTGCTGCACAGCAAGCTCTTCACCGACGCCTCCTCCCGCAGCATCGGTGCCCTCAACAAGATCAACTTCAACACCCGCTTCGTCATGAAGACCCTCATGACCATCTGCCCCGGCACCGTCCTCCTGGTCTTCAGCATCTCCTCCTGGATCATCGCCGCCTGGACGGTCCGTGTCTGCGAGAGGTACGTGGGGTGCTCCCCAACGGGGCTCTTTGGCGGGGGGGGCAGGGATGGGGGCTGCAGGGCTGGGGTGCAGCTGAGGACGCACGGTGCAGACCCCGGCAGGGCTGGGGGGAGAGAAGAGGCCCCTTGGAGAGGAGGCCCCTGCTCTCCAGGCAGACCTTCCCCGGCGGGACCCTCGTGCCCTGGGTGGTGGCCAGGATGGTTTTGCCAAACCAAAACTGCTTGCTGAGTGAGGTGGGGGCAGCCGGACCCCCAGGCTGTCCCCAGATCCCCCCCAAGCCCTTCTGTGCCCCCCCTGGGACGCAGCAGGACCCCCTCTCCGCCGGCGGGTCTGGCCAGGCAGAGCTGGGGGTCTCGCAAAGGGGACCGAGCCCTCGCGCAGGATGTGGCCCGTGCTCCTCAGCTGCGCCCGCCGGGATGCCAGGGCCGGGATGCCGGGGCCGGGATGCCCGTGCCGGTGCCCTGCCCGTGCTCGCCCCTTCTCGGCCGCTCCCCCGGGACGCGCATTAACTGCTCTTGTTTTCCCTCCCTGACCGCTCTGCTGCTCGCAGGGACAAACTGTGAGTCACCCCAGGGACCGACAGCGCGTCCTGCACGGGGCGTCCCCCCCGCCCCAGGCTTGTGCTACCCAGAATTTAGGATTAGCTGCAGCCGGCGGGTTGGGGGGGGGCGGTTCAAGGCTGGGGGGCCTGGAGGGAGGCAAAGAGGCCATGGATACAGAAAGGGGCCGGAGCCCTTTTCCACTTGGAACCTCAGCAGCTGCTTTCTGTCCCTGCTGTGCCCCCCGAGCTGGGGTGGCCACGGTGCCCAGTCTGGCCACAGGCACGAGCTGGGGGTCCCGTTGCAGCATGGGGGGGGGGGCTGGAGCATGGCTCCTTCTGCCCCGGCTCTCAGGGTGCTCTCGGAGGGGTGGGCTTGCTGCAGGAATCACTGCGGGTCCTGGGGTGGCCCTGGAGGGAGAAACCCTGGCAAGGAGCGGAGCCGAGCCGGAGCTGTCAGGAAGGAGCCGCTGGATTCTTCTTGTTTCTAACCAGAGGCTTCAGCTGAGTTTTGAAAGGGCTTTTGCTCAGCTCCGGTGGTTGCCGTTGCTCGGCGTTTTCCCTCCTTAACGTGCACAGTTTGGGTGCATTGAAGGAGTCCTGGGTGCTCCTTGGGAGGATGGAGGGGAGTGGGGAGCACCGCAGCCCCCGCTGTCCCAGGGAGCATCGCCTTGGGGTGACGTCCTTGGGCTGCCAGCCTTTTGGGGACAGGCTCAGCCCTCACTGCCAGCCCACCCCAGGGTGCAGGTCCCCCTCGGCCACGCGGTGCCCCCCAGCATCACCCTGCCGCATCCCTCGGTGCCGGCTGAGGTTCCAAGGCCAAACCGCAGGGCTGTGCCCTGGGGGGCCGGGTGGAGGGACGCAGCAATCCTAAATTCCTCGCCACGCGCTTGAGTCCACCCTGGCTCGCTCCTGTCTCCTTCCTTCCCTTTTCTCACCCCCGGCACCTGGATTTCCTGGCTCCCCGCTGCTCCCCGCATGCCTTTGTCCCGCTGCCCAGCTTGGCTGCACCCAGCGCCCGTCCCCGTCCCCCAGCCGGGCTTGTCCCGGCAAGTGGCGGGGGCTGTGTCCGGGGTTCCTTGGGGGGGGCGGGGGGCACAGCTGTCTGCATTCGTGGCATCCGTGCTGGCCACAGAATCTCAAAGCACAGTGTCCCCCTCTCCCCCCACAGTGATGCCCGTGATGGCCTCGGGACCCTTCGTAGTCCTGGGCTTGCTTGGGGGGGGGGGGGGGGGCCCGCACCGAGTGGCCCCC